GCTTTCGTTGCAACCCAAAGCCTGAGCAGCAAAAACCACGGCTCATTGGAAAAGGATGCACCAAGGAGCTTGCGCCACGGTATGGTCTGGGCAGGATTCGAGGAGTAGATTTCAATTGCGTTGGCAAGACAAGGTAGCGTAAAATAGTAAATAGGGTGTTGAATAAGAGCTTAGTTGGGCGTCGAGAGAAGGACCTTCTTCTTGCTCTTGTTCTTCTTTCTCTTCGACTTGAACGCGTCGCCGTTGGGCTTAAGCTCGCTTGTGGCGGCCAGCACGGGCTTGAGGGCGACGGCTTCTTGGTGGGCGTCGTCTCGGCGTCCGAAGCCTCGTCGTCGTCCTGGGCCGTGGGTTCCTAATCGCATACAGAGTTGAGCAATCGATATTCCTACTACATATATATATATATATCTAGAAAGGGAGAGAGATGTAGCGTGGTTATGACTCGTATGAATTCGATAGGAAAGACCAAAAGCCTTTTGCAATCCCGTGAACGGGAAAGCCGAAACCAGCCTTAAGGACCGCGCGACGTAGCAGCATGAAAAACTCATGACGGCGCTACAGGTACTATCCCAGATGGTCTGGACCCCCGACCAACCGCAGCATCGTGCCACAAGGACACGACGCTGATCGGGGGTAATTTGCAAATGGGGAACACACATGCAACATACACACAACATGGCCATGCAACGCACCTCGGCCTGGGGCTGACGCGGGCGCTTCTTCGACACGTGCGGCTCGCCCGCGAGCTCGTCGTTGTGGGCGATGCGGGCGGCGGCCTTCTGGATGAGCTCCTGGAGGTCGTCGACCGTGAGCTTGTTGATGGCCTCGGCGTGGTCGCCGACCGACTCTTCCGGCGGGCCTGGCTGGTAGTAGCCGGCAAGATGCACGACACCGTCGCCAACGACGCTGAGCTTGGTCTTGGTGGCGCCAAAGACCACGTCGAGCTTGACCTGGTCGGTGGTCTTGGCCCGCAGCGTGCAGAGCGCGACCTTGACGAGGCTGTTGTCGAGGCCGGTGGTCTCGACGGAGAGGACCGCGGAGGCGCCGGAGCTGATCGTGGCCGAGACGACGGTCAGCACCATGCCCTCGGGGACGTGAACAAGAAGCGGCTTGGCCGTCGAGACGTGGCCGCCGAAGAAGTGGACCATGGCGCTGGTAAATTGAGAGTGAGCGGTTGAGTTTGAACCGGCAATTCCATCCCTCGCGAAATGAGTGGTCGCTGAGACCGATGGAATCGAAAGGTAATAAATAGTGTTTTTGGATTATGAATAGTGTATGTTTGTGAAATCGTGTAGAGTAGAATGGTGTGCTAAGCTGGATATAGTGTGAAATGCAAGACAGAGTTTGAGCGATCGCCGGGCCACCAGAAAGGATGCGAGGGCCGACACCTCGCGTCGTACTGACTCCTTGCACTCGTCGTCGACTATATTGGTGCCCTGGTGGAAGTATGACGGCTTGTTTCTAAAACGAGGGTGCCCACTTGAACCGTTGATCGCTCCTTGCTACGCCGACACAGTAAAAGTGACCGCGAGAGACGAGCGTTTGAGGACATCTTTGTGTCCTCGGCAAACATTCCATTATGGACCGAATGTACTATACTTATAGCATAGGTGTGGACCGTAGCAGTTTGGTTGATGCGGGCATGCGTGGCGCCACCTGAGCTCGTCGTGACACTCGGCTCGTCGTTGTGGAGACGCGAACTGGGTTAGCTGGATGCTTGTACTACGTAGTACAATATAGCAACAGATATGACTTGAATATGCATTGAGATGACAATATTGTCCACATTCCACACCAAACGAGTACACACTGCTCTTCGAACGACGTACAAAAAGCAAGTGGACGGCCACGCCAAAGCGGACTTCAACGTCCAGCGGCGCGAACGATCCGGATAAAGTCGTTTT